TGTCATTTTGTTATGCTTTCTAATTAAATGTTTGTTTGTTTTTTAATTTAAACTAATTTGCCTTCTGGGTGGTTGGTAAAGGTGTTTGCCTTATGAGCTGTGAAACTCATGAGTGGATCCTGACCCATAGAGTGCCTTGAGCCTCTGTGTGTGTGTGTGTGTGTGTGTGTGTGTGTATGAAAGAGAGGGGAGCAATGAGGAGGCAGATGCTACAAATGAAATATCTCTAAAAATCAATCCTTTAGTGCCTTTTCTAGCACAGATTTCTTTTATATGTATTTGATCTTGCCCAATTGTTTTTCTCAACTTCATCTTTCTTAAGTACAAACATTGCTTCCTCACAATAGTACATTGGGTGCTGAGGTATCAGTCCAAATACGGTGTTTCCACGATGATTACTGAGTTGCATAGATCACAATAGAAATGCCAGAAGATCGGCTCTGTTTTGTGTCTATGTGTTCTCCCAGTTTCACCCCAAGTTCTCTGAGAATGAGTGGATTTAGCTGGGTCTCATGCCAAACTCTCTGTAGGATGGCTTTCCCTTCACTTTCTTTTGACTTCTTTTTTTTTGGTGAGGTGATACTTGTAATCTTTCTTCTACCTTTATACTGTTTTGCAAATTCTTCTTCAAATTGTTATTATCGATGGCTGCCAGGCCATGCTGTTTGTCCAGAACAACAAACGTTTGCTGCATACAACTGAGAGGCGGCATAGTTTAGTGGAAGGAGTCCTTATCCTGGGTCGGGAGAGATCTGAGTTAAGATCCTAGTTTTGCCATTTTGTAGCTATATAATATGAGGTTCCTGAGAAAAGTGTCTGTATTTTAAAAACAAAAAAAGCAACAATTCATATAACAATAATAATAGCAGCAAATGTTAGAGAGTATTTTTGGTTATCTGATTTCATCCTCACAACAACCCTGTGAGGTAGTGTACCTAGGGTACAAATTTTTATTCGCATTTGATAAATGAGGAAACCAAGGGTTGATGAAATTAAGGGTCTTGCCGTAAATCACACACTGGTAAGTTGTAGTATCTGCACTAAAGGAATTATGAAACACTTTCAGTAACTATGAGCCAAGAGAGGCCATTATATCGTGGATGATCAGTCAGCCTGAACAAACATCAATTAAACAATTACTGTATGCTGGACTCTGTGCTAATGCAATAACATAACAAAGAAAGGCAAAAACATGGCCTGCTCAAGCAGCTCACAATCTATCTAGTAAGAGAGAGAATATAATAGAATACAACTGCAAAGTAGATGATAATACATTAAGAAGAGTTGAGTTCAAGTCCTTTCTCTGACACTTATTAGCTGTCTGAACACGCACAGGTAGGATAATTTCTCTGAGCCTCAGGAAACCCTGTATAAATACTGTATTTATAATGTGTCTCCGTTGGAGACTCACACAAAGAGTCTGCTCTATGCATCAGAGGCATCTAAATATCAATTTCTTTAGAGGAAAATAGAAGGAAATTCACTCACTATTTTCTCTTAACACTAAGCTACAAAGAGTATAATCGTGTTAGTAATCTTGGCCTCTTACCTGCATATGCTTCAGTTTTATTTTTTTTAACCTCATTACTAGGGGTAGATACTTTGCCTGGCATGTTATTTTATGTTGTCTTATGCAAAGGACATAAGAGAGCTACCTTTTCAGAATGAAGTTGAGACATTTACAAAATTGCAGATTACAATATGATGCCACAGCCAGTAGTTCTCTAGCACTTTCTTTTTTTCTTATTCTATCTTCAAATTCATTTTTGCATCCCCTAGTTCAGAAGTTCCAAACATATTTGGCCTACCACCCCCTTTAAAAAAATTACTGAGCACCCCCTGAAAATCAACTTAAACCTTTAATCTTTAATGGTTTTTTTTTAAATTTGCATCATTACAAAAAATATACAACATTTTTAAATGACACATCTTGAATTTATAACTTATTGTAAATTTGTGGGTTTTTTCCTGCATTGAAATTTTGATGATGCAATATTTAATCATATAACCGTATAGCAGTATTATAAACAAGTCATTACATGCACATATTCCTGCTGATGCCTGCTGGACTTCCAGACAATGCACAACCTGCCTACCTGCCAATACTTGCTTGTGAAGACGTGTTGTGTGGACTTGACCACTGATGGGTTATAAGTTGTATTTTGTGTGCTTATTGGGAAAATAATGTAATCGCTACAACTTTAAGTGTTACACAACAGATGAAACATGTACGATCAGTTTTGAAAATTCTCTTCTTTCCTTATGCTTCCACTACCCCTTATTTTTATTCAATGCTCCCTCACTGCACCTAGGCTACTGCTCCCCACCCCTACACACTCCCAATTGTTCCAGCACCCCAAAGGGAGGTTATCACCCACTTCGGGAACCTCTGCCTAGTTTCTTGTCTGGATCTAGCTCAATAGAACATGGCATGAATCTCTGCTTTCAATGAATATCAATTTTCCATCCTATTTAGCTTAATATAGTCAATTATCTAAGACCGTGGTACATTATGCTAGCTAAATTTTACATGTGCCTGTACTCTCTCAAGAAGCATGGTTATACCACCTCAGTTACAACATAAGTGGAAGTCAGTCCTAACATCTTTGTTTAAATCAGATGTCAAAAATTAATCCTAAAATCAAGACAGATGAAGACCAGTGGTAGTTTATCAGAATGGCCTGGGTAATGTCTAGATGACTTTGTGGTGTCAATTTCCCAGAGCCCTGTGTTCATTTCAGCTGCTAGCTGTGACTGACTCAATTGTACCTATGCAATGAGGAACTGGTGGCAGAGAAGTGGCAGCTAATGGCTACTCTATTATTTACTTCACCAGCTTCTCCAAGGAAGGCATTAGTAAGACGGAATACCTGTGGAAGAAAGCACCAGGGGATCTTCCTCTTAGAATGTCATATCCATTGAAGACCTTTCTAATACTTCATCCAAAGATGGCCAAGTGCTACAGGATGAATTGAACTTGAAGGCTAGTGTACCTCACTTTGCACAAAGGTTATGCTACTGAAAAGCTGCACTTAAGTGTGATTTGTGTAAATCAAGTGGACTAGGGAATCTTCTATTTTAAAAAAACTTTGAGATATAATAGTTTAGTAATGCAAAAAAAATCATTGTATAAGTACTTATATCTTCATTTCTTGGTTTTATAAATGTAACCTAGGGCTGAAGTCCTTGCGTAGAACTCTCCTCATTGGTGAAAAGAAAGCTTGATAACTTGATGCTGTGGGCTTGCATGTGGGGTAGAGTTGTCAATCATTCTTCCCACTCTCCATGAGAAAAGTCTTATGCAAATGCACTAGGTTTGGACCCTGGGTTATATAAGTATAAAGTAATTTATTGGTTCCTCTTGAAGTAGGACACACCTATATCCATGATAGAGCAAGTACAATGTCATGTTAGAAGATCTATTATGTTGAATCAGAGCCTTTGCTTGGAAACAAAGGGAAGCCATTTCCAGAGGATTCAAAGTTTCAAACTTATTGACTGTTATGTATTTATTTGGAAAATAATGTAATCACTGCGACTTTAATTCCATTACACACAACAGATGAAACATGTACAAATGGTTTTTCAAAATCTTCTTCTCTTGTCTTCTTTCTTTATGTTTCCACCACCCCCTTATTTTTATTCAATGCCCTGCCCCAATTGCACCCAAGGATACTACCACCCCCCCGGACCATTGCAGGGCCCCCCAGGGGGCAGTATTGCCCACTTTGGGAATCTATGACTCTAGACAAAATAATCTGCCTCCACAAGAACACAATGGCTTCCCCACTCTAGATTAAATTCCTTGACCAAAACTGAGGACAGTGAATCCTATCTCTTTGTCAGTAACATCCTTCAAGAGACTAAAATTAGGGGGCAGCTAGGTGGCACAGTGCATAAAGCATGGGCCCTAGAATCAAGGGGACCTGAATTCAAATCTGATTAGACCAGACACTTGACCCTTACTAACTGTACGACCCTGGGCACGTCACGTAACCCTATTTGCCTGGTAAGGAAAAAAAATAGACTAAAATTAAAATCAGGACTTTGGAAGAAGGGAAGAACTCTGAAATCTCCCCAAGATATTGGTTATTAATCATTTCTCAGACTGAAGAAACTTGAAGAGACTGGAGTCTCCTCTCTCTTGCCCTATCCCTGACACAGGTATGGGGCATTGATCTCCACCAATGAGGAGACAGTCCCATACCAATGGGCTGTGGGACTTGGGTTATATTCATGAAAACAGGAAACCAGCAGATGATCAGCTTCTGGTGATCATACATAGGACAGCTCCTCCCTGACCTGATCCTGGCCCCATCCTGCCCCTAGTGGCCTCCCCAGTAGCTTGTGGTACTTTTTGTCCCAAACAATGAGATTTCTCCCTTTCCCCTAAATTGAACATGTCTTAGAAAGTTGATTTGAGGGGCCACTAGGGGGTGCAGTGGATAGAGCACCAGCCCTGGAGTCAAGAGGACCTGAGTTCAAATCCAGCCTCAAATACTTAACACTTGACACTAGCTATGTGACCCTGGGCAAGTCACTTAACCCTGATTACCTCGCCAAAAAAACCCAAAAAACCCCCATGAAAGTTGATTTGAGAGTGCTTTTAAACTCCTTGCCCTTGGTGTTTTTTGCATTGCTTGTTCTAGGTATAAGAATTGCTAATTAAGGTTCTGTGCCATGGTGGCCTATAATAATGGTGAAGATGGTGATGATGATGGTGACTAGTAAATACATGGGGCTTCGAGGTTTTCAAAGCATTCTACAAATATCTCAATGGAAAGATCACTAGTCCTGGAACTAGAAGACCTAGGTTTGACTCTTGGGTCTGCTACTCAATTGTCTTCTGACCTAAACCAAGTCACTAAGTCCCTTTGGGCCTCAGTTTTTCCATCTGTAAAGTGAAGAGGTCAGAACTAGCTGATATGGAAGCTCTCTTCCAGGTTTAAAGTCTATACTAATTGTCCTCATCACTCTATGTGGTTCCTCTTTTTAGGATGGTATTAACTGCCCTAGGAAGAGTTTAATGCCTACTCAGTTTTGGCCACAGCAAAGGAAGGTGAGCCCAAACCACTGCAGGAATTACCATTTTCCCTTGAGCAATAGGGTAAGTCAAAATGCTGTGTGCTCACATTGTCTCTTGTTTAATGTTTACTGGGGTGAGTTTTTCACAGTTTATTAAACAGATTTCATGGCTCTTGGAGGGTTTAAACAAAGAAACGCCTGTTCTCATGAGTGGGACACATTTTGAGGATTAAAAAACAAAAGAAAAAGAAAAACAACTTCAAACCCACAGCAGCCAGAGAGCTGCCCCAGCTCTACTGACCCTGCTGGTGACTGACGAGACCAGGTCACAGACAGGCCTTACTGATAGATGGACTATACAGCAGCCCACCAACTTGGCTTAGTAGCTTGTACATCTCAGGTGCTGGAGCGGCCAGCTCATCTTTAGAATTTTAGGACCAGAACTTCTTCCCTGTGAGCATGGGGTTTCCATCCCCATTTAAATGTAAGAATCGCTGGTAGCAGTGACCCCAAAGTTGTCATCTGTCACTTTTTGTTCCTTGGAAGTGAAGGTCTATGTTGTCGTTGTTGTTTGTCTTTCACTTTTGAAGAGGACCAGTGACTTCACAGGGTGACATCTTGACTTGTGGGTGAATTGGATTGAAGTGAGGCAGAGCTGCACAAAGTTGTTGCGTCACTGTCTCTTCCGGAGTCATCAAAGGCCAGTGGTGAGACAAAAATCGGGACAACTGGCAAAGCCCTACGGGCTGCGATGGATGGCTTTGGCATCTTTGTTGTCTAACCAAGCTCTGAGTACTCCACAGTGCCTGCTTTAGCCACCTTCATGGCCATGAGGACAAATTGTTCTCATCTACCCATTCCACGAGGGAAGTCTTCACATGCTTTGGGTAGACATCCCTACCAGCTCACTGACAGGCGTGAGGCCTGCTGGCTACTCTCAGCCTGGTTTAGCCATCTGCCCACAAAGTTTACCTGGGTATGGTCACTGTGCATGCCACAGCTGCTGCTGCTTCTTGTTTTGAGCAAACTACTTTATTTTTTGGTAAATTCTATTTATTGTTTGTTTTTAGTTTTCAACATTCACTTCTATAAGATTTTGAGTTCTAAATTTTCTCCCCTCCCTCTCTCTCTAGTGCAATCTGATAGGCTATATATGTACAACCATATTAAACATATTTCCACATTAGTCATGTTGTAAAGAATTAGAACAAAAGGGAAAACCAAAAAATAAAAGAAAGAAAGAAAATAGTATGCATTCAGACTCCATAGTTCTTTCTCTGGATGTAGATAGCATTTTCCATCATGAGTCTTTTGGAATTGTCTTAGATACTTGTATTGCTGAGAAGAGCTAAGTCTATAAAAGTTGGTCATCACATAATGTTGCTGTTACTGTGTACCATGTTCTCCTGGTTCTGCTCACTTCATTCGGCATCAGTTCATGTAAGTCCAGGTTTTTCTGAAGTGCATCTGCTTATCATTTCTTATGGAACAATAGTATTCCATTACATTCATATACCACAGCTTGTTCAGTCATTCCTCAATTGATGGTGAATTTCCAATTTCCAATTCTTCAATTCCAATTTCCAGTTTCCAGTTCTTTGCCACCACAAAAAGAGTTGCTATAAATATTTTGTACATTTGTGTCCTTTTCCCCTTTTTATGCTCTCTTTGGGATACAGACGTAGAAGTAGTTTTGCTGGGTCAAAGGGTATGCACAGTTTTATAGCTCTTTGGACATAGTTCTAAATTGTTCTCCAGAATGGTTGGATCAGTTTACAACTCCACCAACAATGCATTAGTGTTCCAATTTTCCCACATCTTCTCCAGCACTGACCATTTTCCTGTTTTGTCATGTTAGTCAATCTGATAGGTGTGATGTGGTACCTCAGAGTCATTTTGATTTGCATTTCTCTAATTGATACTGATTTAGAGCATTTTTTGATATGATTGTAGATAGCTTTAATCTCTTCCTTTGAAAACTGCCTTTGACCATTTATCAGTTGGGGAATGACTTGTATTCTTGTAAATTTCACTCAGTTCTCTATGTATTTTAGAAATGAGGCCTTTGCCAGAGACACTGGTTGTAAAAATTGTTTCCCAGATTTCTGCTTCCCTTCTAATCTTGGGTGCATTAGCTTTATATGTGCAAAAACTTTTTACTTCAATGTAAGCAAAATTATCCACTTTGCATTTCATAATGTTGTCTATCTCTTTTTGGTCATAAATTCTTCCCTTCTCTGTAGATCTGACAGGTAAACTATTCCTTGCTCTCCTAATTTGTTTATAGCTTCACCCTTTATGTCTAAATTATGTGCCCATTTGGACCTTATCTTGGTATATGGTGTAAGATGTTGGTCTATGCCTAGTTTCTGCCATGCTATTTTCCAGTTTTCCCAACGGTTTTTGTTCAATAATGAGTTCTTATCCCAGAAGCTGGAGTCTTTGAGTTTATCAAACAATAGATTATTATGGTCATTGCCTACTGTGTCTCATGTTTCTAACCTGTTCTACTGATCTACCATTCTTTTTCTTAGCCAGTACTAAGTAATTTTGGTGATTGTAGTGTTACAATACAATTTTAGATCTAGTATGGCTAGGCCACATTCCCTTGCATTTCTTCTCATTATTTCTCTCATTTATTTATATTTATATTATAGCATATTTCTTCTCATTATATTCTGGACCTTTTGTTCTTTCAGATGAATTTTTAAAATTTAATTTGTATTATTTATTTATTTATTGTATTTTCTAGCTCTATAAAATAATTTTTGATAGTTTGGTATGGCACTGAAAAAGTCAATTAGTTTAGGTAGAATTGTCATTTTCATTATATTAGTTCAGCCTACCCATGAGCAACTGGTCTTTCTCCAATTATTTAGATCTGACTTTAATTGTGGTCGTATAGTTCCTGGGTTTGTCTTGGCAATAGAATCCCAAATATTTTGTGTTGTTTACAGTTACTTTAAATGGAATTTCTGTTTCTATTTCTTGCTGCTGGGCTATATATAGAAATATACAGAAATGCTGATGATTTATGTGAATTTATTTTATGTGCTGCAACTTTGCTAAAATTGTTAATTATTTCAAGTAGTTTTTTAGTTGATTCTTGAGGACTTTCTGAGTATACCATCATATCATCTGCAAAGGGTGATAGCTTTATTTCTTCAATGCCTATTCTAATTCCTTCAATTTCTTTTTCTCCTCTTATTGCTAAAGCTAACATTTCTAGTACAATATTGAATAACAGTAGTGATAATGGGCATCCTTGTTTCACCCCTGATCTTATTGGTAATGCTTCTGACTTATCCCCATCACATATAATGCTTGCCAATGGTTTTAGATAGATGCTACTTATCATTTTAAGGAAAACTCCATTTATTCCTGTGCCCTCTAGTGCTTTTAATAGTATGCCACAGCTCCTTGAAGCCACAGGTGAGAGCTGGGTGAGTCAGGTGGACACCAAAGGTGGATGAGCAGCCCTGAAAAGGGCCCTCACACCAGAGGTGCTAGTTCTCCTTGAATACCCATAGAGTCCTGAAGGTCTAGGTACCAACTTTCTGAAATAAGTAAAGCAAAGTTTCAATTTCCATTTTAAGGATAGAGAAACAGAGGCATAGGGTAGTTAAAGAATTAGATCACCTTGCTGGTTGGTGTTAAGATCAGAAGCTCAAACCTAAGTTTTTAAATTCTATTCATTCATTATTGATCTCCTCTCTCCCATCCTCCATGGATTCAAGGAATTTAGAGGAAGCTCTAGGTGAATCTTCCTTCTCCTAAAAGAGACTTATATTCTTTTCTTTTAGTGATTTGATGGGGTCATAGGTGAAGGAGATGGCTAGAAAGGGGCCATGTTAATTTTTGACAAGGTTTCCATCCTGGCATGGCAGAATATTCAGGTGTTTATGTGGAGGAAAGATCCTATTGTTTTTCCCCCTCTCCAAAAATAAAATCTCACCTACGTGACAGGTTGTGGAACACTCCTAGAGATTTTAAAACAACCTTGAGATGTCATGTCACACCTCATGTCTTTGGGTTAAAGTATTGTCTCTCCTATCCTCTTCTAAAATCCTAAGACTGAGCAATCCCCTACTACGTACTTTTCTCTTTTAGTTTTTAGATCTCATTTCTCCCTAGTAGGCTTAAGCTCCTACACCTAGATATTAGTCTTCCTAGCTCCCTCAGGTGTAGGCAAAGGCTTTTCCATAGCAGAATTCATAAACATTTGTTGAAGTGATTTGCAAAAACAAAACATTTGTGTTCCCTGCTGTCCAATTTACAAATTGTGAAGGCAGGTGGGGCAGATATTATCTCAATTATATAGACAGCCTCAGAGAAGTTCCAATGGATTGTGCAGGTTGACACAGCTACTAAATGACCAATCTAGGCCTCCTGTTCCATTTCCAAGTGGGCACAGATGGAGGGAGAATAGTTTGGAGCATGGGAGGGCGTATCTAAACAAGGCACTTACTTAGTGTTTGAGTGGGGTGCTTGAGACAGCCTGGAGGCAGCAGGTGAGCAGAGGGCACCTAGAGTGGCAGCCAGAATCAAAGAGGAGCAGAGGCCAGGGTATAGAGGCCAAGCTTGACTTTCTTTGGTTATTGTCATTTCTAAATGACAGTTAGTCAAAGCCCAATGCAATTTTGGCAGCCCTAGAGGAATGTCCTCTTGGCTTAAAAGTTTTAAACTTATTTACAAGGCTGGGCAGGGCCTCTCCCTGTGACAATTTTATTTACAGGTTGATCTGACTCCTATACCAGCCTACAAAGCTCCTTTTTTTTCTTAATAGCTTTGAGTTCCTGTGGTTTTTAAATTTTTTTATTTATTTTTAATTATGGTATAAAACAAGCATTTCCAAAACATAGTATGATAAAAAAAAACGGTGGCACCTGATTCTCTTGGCTAGTGAAGAACTGCTATACATAATGTTGGCCTTGGGCAAAATGGCAAAGTTGTGATTATAGGATAGGATTGTTTTTGCTCCCATCTTCTTTTCTACCATCAAAGATATTTCTAGGGTAGATACTTCATAGAACTTAAATCTGGAAGGGATCTTCGAGACCATTTAGCTTAACACTCTCTCAT